TAGGTATGTAAGCAGTGCTTATTGATTAATAGAAGTAGTAGAAAGAATACTTCCTGTGTGACCTTGAGCTTCACCATCTTTAAAAGGAGATGGTCTGACTCGGCCTCTGAGATCACTTCCAGCCCTAGACCTATGACCCTATGATCACACTGAAATCCTCTTCTATTTAATTTCTAGCCATCACTACATCCTCATTCTTCCTTCTGGGGCCAGACAGAATGATATTAATTCCTCTTCCACATGACAGCCCTGGAATGTAATATAAGAACTTGAGCCAATTAGTGCCAGGACTCCCCCAACATGTGGCCTAGACATGTGGTCAAGTCAGAGTGGACCAAAGACCAGGTATCATGCAAATAGGAATTTGTCCTCAGACACTGCTTCCTGGGGCTCTCCAGGTACACCATTCACTCCATAAACCTTCATGAAGCACCCTCTGTGTGCAGAGCTTGTGATAGGTTCTGGGGGGAGAGGGGGGGAGATATACAATTTATATAAGACAGGGTCCCTTCCTCCATGGAGCTTATAGTTGGGTCAATATTATCCATTCCAACACATTTTTTATACCATCTACCCACTCATGGAAAGGTTAAAGAGGGCCAAGGATTCTGGTTGGACTAGAAAGTCCAAGTCTCTTCTCTAGGGTCACACTGCACCATGAAAGTCAAGTGCCAGAATTCAGATTTTTTTTTCTACCAGGAAAAGGCCATCCTCCCTCCCCTAAATTCTCAAATGGCTTCTTCATCTCTCTTCAAAACTGAGATGTCACAGTTTCCAAGAAGCCCCAGTACACTCATTAAGTCTCCTCTTGTCACTCCTGGTTTCTCAGGGAGTAGATAAGAAAGCGCCATCTTGGAGACACACACATATGGGTGAATGCATCTGGGGAATGACTTTAATGGGACAGTCCTTTCCTTAGACTCAAGGACATCAAGCAACAGCTGTCTGCTTGGGGAAAGGGGGTGCCCAGTGGGGCTGGAGGGGATGTCTCAGACAGGAGCTGGAAAAGGTCAGGATGATTAAGGGAAGAATGGTAGTTTGGGACCTCTGAGAAGCTCCTCTCTACCCAATCCTGGGTGCTCTGGGCAGCTTCTGGACCAAGACATGTACAGCTGTGTTTCTGAACCTCACCCAGACCTTTCTGTCTTTGCCAAAAGAAGCTGGAAATCTCTTCTCAGCATTTTTTCCCGTGGGGGACTTTTTCAACATTCTAGATAGGAAGAGGGGAAAAAAATCTAATAAGATGGAGGTGGATGGGTTAAGTGATTCGAACTCTACAGAATAGTTCTCAAGACTAGGCTTAGCATGTGTTTCTGGGAGGGGTTAGTGTGAGCCCAGTTTAGCCCCTCAAGATTAAAGCCTGCGGTAGAACTGACTCCTCCACCCTAGGCACCTCTTAAATCCAACACATCCAGACCCTTGATGGTCTAGCCTTGGTCACAGTCCAGAGTAGCCACTCTGAGTCCTGGTCCCTGAAGCTTGAATTCAATTTAATTCAATCCAAGATCACAGGATTTAGAGATGGAAAGTAGCTCAATGATTACCTAATTCAACCCTCTTGATTCAATTCCATTCAATTCAACATGTATTAAGGATTTACTGTGTTAGTATATAGAAGCAGTTCTCAAAGTGTCACCTGGAGACCTCTGGGAGATCCCCTAGACCCTTTCAGGGTATTTTCAAGGTTAAAACCATTTTCATAATAATACCAAGATGTTTTAATTTCTAATATGGTAGATGTAGCCTATATAAACAAAAGCTCTTTGGGGAGTCCTCAGTAATTTTTCAGAGTAAAGAGGTCCTGAGAACCCCAAATTTGAAAACTACTGGTATAGAATATAAGGTCTTTGAGGGCAGAGGGTGTTTTTCTTTTTGTTTCTGCACCCCCAACATCTAGCACAGTGCCTGGCATATACTAGGACATTAAAATGCTTATGGAATTGAATTGCATTGAATTGCTAGGTACTAGAAATATAAAGGCAGATCTGACACAGGCTCTGTTTTCAAAGGGCTTACTGGCTAATAAATTTAACAAGAATGGCTTTCTGCTTTCAACACCAGCATTGTGCACCGTGTTGTGGGAGGCATAAGGGAAATATAAACCATGGGCCCTTGCCCTCAAGGAGGGTACAATTTCTTTAGGGAGGCCACACACACACACACACACACACACACACACACACACACACACACACATTAGCGAATGTGAATGTAAGATAATTGAAGTGCCGAATGAGTTAGTGTACATAATAGCAACGGAAGAAAGAAAGAATAGGGAAAGGTCTGTTTTCCTAAAGAACCCTTTCACTGAAACCTTCCCGACAAACTTCAAATGTTAGAATTAGTAATGACCAAAAATGTTTGAACCTAGGACACAGAACTGGAAGGGACCTCAAGGATGATCTAGCCCAAGGCTTCATTTAACAGATGATTTGGGGAATGTTTCATGAAAGAAGTCAGTGGACTTGAGCTGGGCCCTAAGGAATGGATAGGATTTGGATTGGCTGGGAAGAGGGGAGGGAATAATAGCCTTGGAGTTGAAAAGGAGGAAAACCATCTGGTTGGAGAAGAGGATCAGTGTTGGGAAGGGATGGGAGATAAGGGCAGATAGAAGTTGGGTGGGGACAGATTTTTGCATTAAAACCAAAATGTGGGCCAAAATGACAGAGAAGAAAAACATGGATACTTCTCAGTATGTCAGTTGATAGTCAAAAAAGCATTTATGCTTACACCATGCTGTGCTGAGGATACCAAAAAAAAAAAGCCCCAAACGTCCTTGCCCTCAAGGAACTTACATTCTAGTTGGCAAGACAATATATAAATAACATATGAGATATATGCAGAATAGATGAAAGGTGATCTGAAAGGGGAAAGCATTAAGCCTAGAAGCAATTAGATGGTACTATTTGATAGAGGGCTGGAGCTGGAGTTTAAATCAAAAGACCTGAGTTTAAATCAAGCCTCAGATACTTACTAGCTATGTGACCTTGGGTAAGCCACTTGGGGTTTTTTTTACCTCAGTTTTCTCAACTGTAAAATGGGGCTAATAATTGCAGCTATCTCCCAAGGTTGTTGTGAGGATCAAACAAAATAATATTTGAAAAGTGGTTATATAGTATGTATCATAGGGTCATTGCTATATCAGTTCTAGATAGCGGCAGCAGCAGCTGGGGTGGGGGAGTTGGAGAGGCAAGGACAAGAAATGCCTCTTGCAGAAGATGAAATTTGAGCTATCTTGAAGGAGGCCAGGAAAACTAAGAGGTGTAGGTGAGGGGACATGTGAGGCAGCTGGTGCAAAAGCACTGGGATGGGAAATATGTCAAGTGAGTCAGCACTGCTATGAAACACCTGAGAACAAGTGTTTTCCCTAGGGTTAAATCTCTACTGGTCCCTTCTATGACTTCTGGAAACACTCTAGTTGGAGAGACTCTAAAAAATCACCTCTCTAGGTGTATGGAGTATGTTGGCAATGGGATCAATAAAGTAGGAAACCTAAGGAAAGCCTTAGCTAGGCTGAGGAAATCTGCCTCTGAATGTTACAATGTTATTCCCAGTACAAAAATCAAAGTGCTGTTCTGAAGGTAATGTGGTAAGAAGAATATGGAGAGTGATGCAGAAGAAAGAGACCTATAGACTTTAGAGGAAGTTTCTGCCAGTAAACAACCCAGATATCTTAAAGGAGTGGGGCAGATATTCTTGGAGTTTTCCTCTCTCTCTAGTAGTAAGATAAGCCCTTTCAAATTGCAAGGGGACCATGGAGAACTCTGAAACAGAAATAGTTCCCAGAGTGACCCAGATGCATCTCGCTAGAGCCCCAGCATAGGCACTGGGGAGCAGAAAACCTGTGCTTGCATCCCTCTGATTCCAGGTCTAAGAAGATATTAAGGTCATGAGGGAGAAGGAAGAGAGCTGGGATGCCCAGAGCATCTTCATCATCTACAAACATTGACTGAGCTCCCTTAATAAATGTTTGTTGAGTTGAACTGAATCCCCAGTGTTTCTGAGGATGACATCATGAAGGGCTGCCCCGCTTTGCTGTTATCAATCAACAAGTATTTATTGTTGGGACAGAATACCAAGTTTTGAACCAACTAGCCCTTGTTGACGTTCTCATGTTAGAGTTATAGATTCAAAGAACGTGAAAAAATATGAGAAAGAGAAGCTCAGCAGTAAAAAGGATTTTAATAGAATGTTAAAATAGAGAATGTTAGGGATGGAGGGGATCTCAGAACATGTAAAATAAGACCGAGAAGGAACCTTAGACACTATCCAATCCAGGGGGGTTTATGTGTCATGCACTAGAACCTTAGTCTAGTGAAAGCTATGGATACCTTCTCAGAATAATGTTTTTAATTCATTGAAGGGAATGCTAAATTTTAGTTAGAGGTTAATTAAAATAAAAATGTATTTTTTCCCATCCAACTTCATTGGTCCCCTGAAATCACTCCATAGATGGGGTCTGTGAATCCCTGGTTAAGAACTTCTGTCTTAGTCTAACTTCATTATATAGGTAAGGAAGCTAAGGACAAGAGTTTAAATGATTTGCCCAAATTTCATGAAGAAGAGCACTATGGTCCAGTGACTAGTTGGGAGAGCTAGAGTCAAACCCCAACTCTCCTACTATCTATGTGATCTTGGACAAGCCTCGATGGGGCTCAGTTTCTCCTTCTGTAAAATAAGTTCTGACCTAGATGAGATCTTTAATAATCTTTTTAATCTTTAATAATCTGAATTGAACATTCTGACCTGGTGGCAAGGTCAGTAATAGGAAACTGTGTCTCCCCAGTCTCAAGTACTTTCCACTGCATCCTTTCTGCCTCTCATCATATTCTCCAGCACCAGCTATCTGTAGAACCTGGAAAGAGTTCTCTCCTCTTTGCCTTCCTTTGCCGGGCTTTGAGGCTCATGACTACCCTTTCCAACTCTGGCTCTTTTGAGATCCTTGACTGTGAAGATTCCAAGTTAGGGCACAAGGAGCTTGGTTATGATGGACACCGTGTTTTGGGGTATGAATATGAGCTTGTGCAGATGACTGATGAAAACTTCTTATATTTTTTTTTCCAAACCTTGTCTCAGGTGGTGGTGGAAAACCTTCCCTCTCCACCTTTCCTTCTAGCCTTGGGTTCAAAGAGTCAATAAGAATAGAGTTATGCCTCTCTGGTAGTAGGGATCTTCCTCAGATATGTGCCCCCTCCCCAATAATAACACCCACAAAGCCTCCTCCCTGTGTGTCTGGGGACCCTCTCACTCTGGGGAACTGGAGAGTAGCCAGGAGCTGGGGGCGGGGGGAGCAGGGGCCCTCGGTGTAATGCAGAGAGGATGGGGGGAGGCAGTCAGCACACTCCACCCGAGAGAAGACGAAAAAGCACAGTGTTCAGCAGAAAGGAATGTCCTGAAGAGATGGAGGGTGGCTGAGTCCGGGCCAGGCAGCCCTTAGAGGCTGTTTAAAATCTCCGGCTCTCTCCAAGCCCCTTTTATTGGAACTTTAAAACTTTTCTGGTTCCTCTAGTGGGGATGTTTGCATTTGGTATCCAGAATGACCCAATTCCCTCCTCCTCCTCCTTCTCCTCTTCCTCCCCTCTCCCCATTAAAAAAAATCCCCTTTTAAATATTTGTTCAAAGTTGGTTAAATTCTCCCAAATAGTCCCCCCTCCCATTCTCTGTGCGTGTTCTTGTTCTTCTGTAATAATCTCCATCCCCCACATCTCAGCTGTGCTTTTCTCTCCCTCCTTCCTTCTCTCTCCCTCCCTCCCTCCCTCTCTCTCTCTCTCTCTCTCCTTCCCTCCCTCTCTCTCTCATTCTCTCTCTCTCTCTCTCTCTCTCTCTCTCTCTCTCTCCTCTTTCTCTCTCTCTGTCTCTGTCTCTCTCTCTCTCTCTCTGTCTCTCTCTCTCTCCCCACCTCCGCCTCCTTTCCTTCTCCTCCCCCCTCCTCCCCCTCCCATAACTCAAAAGATTGTCAGGCTGGTTCCAGACTGCTGGCGCCGGGCTTCTCTCCAGGAAAAAAATAAGGCGAGAGAGAAAGGCATGCGAGGCAAAACAGCCCCGCCACATGCACACACATCAAACCAGCCCTTTATCTCCCCGGAATGCTCCCCCTCCCTCAGCGCCTCCCGCCCCCCTCCCCAACTCCCTCCTCCCCCATCCTCCTCCTCCTCTCTGGTAGCTCATTCTAACCCTAATACAGCTCAGGCAGGAGGGGAAGGAGGAAAAGGAGGAGGAGAAGAAGAAGAAAACACCAGAGCACATGCTCTCACACAAGGCAGGGAAGACAGAGAGAAAGCAGAAAAGCAAATACAATATCTATTATTTATGGGCATATCAATTATTTAATTGCACGTAGATGGGAAGGGGCGGGGAAAAGGCCCGAAGGAGGCTGAAAATGTTTTGCAAATGCAAGCCATTCGGGTGGACTCCTCCTCTCTCCTTCCCCTGACTTCCTCCCACTCTAAGACACTGTCCCCCAGCCCCATTTCTGTTGTAGAACTGTCCTGGGTCCGCCTGGCTCCAGCTCTCTGGGACAGAGTGAATTATCACTGGGATCAAGAGAGAGAAAGAGAGGGGGGGAGCCTCATTTCACTTCAGAGACGGACTAGGGCTAGAGTAGCTCAGCTGGTCTGTGAGGATAACACAACAGGCCTCCATTCCTGATGTTGCTGGTTACCCATGCTTCCATTGCTGGAGACTTTTTCCATACACCACCCACCAACAGTATATCCTCCCTGGGGGCTATCCCAGCAGGAGCTCAGTTACCTGCTCCCTCTCCTTCTCCCCCTTTTGGAGCACTGTCCAAAACTTCGTGCTGTAGCCTCCTGGGAAAAGCAGTGGAGTCAGACCTGAGAGATGTGGGTTCTAATCCTGACACTGCCTCTAGCCTTAGGGACAAGTCATTTCCCCTCTCTGGCCTTCAGTTTCCACATCTACAGAATAAGAGAGTGAGATCAGACGGTTTCTAAGATATCTTCCAAACCATGATTTTATGATTTACCCCCTCAGAGCTTTCCCCAGATACAATCACATGTCTCTCCTTCCCTCTCTTCCTCCCTCCCTCTCTGTCTGTCTCTCTCCTTCCCTCCTTTCCTCCTTCTCTCTTTCTTTGTGTCTCTCTCTTCCCTTTTCCCTCCCTCTTCCTCCCTCCTTGCCTTTGTCTCAGTCTCTGTCTTTTTTGCTCTTTCTTCCTCTCTTCCCCTTCTCCCTCCCTCTCTCTGTCTCTGTCTCTCTGTCATTCTCTGTCTTTTTCTCTTCCCCTTCTCCCTCCGTCTCTCTATCTCTGTCTGTTTTTCTCTTTTTCTCTCCCTACCCTCTCTCTGTCTCTGTCCTTTTGTTTTTGTCTGTCTCTGTCTGTTTTTTCCTCTGACTTTCCTCCCACCCTGTCTCCCTCCTTCTCTATCTTTATCTCTCTCTGTCTTTTTCTCTCTTTCTCCTTCTCCCTCCTTCTCTCTATGTCTGTTTTTCTATCAGTCTGTTCTTTCTGTTTCTCTCTCTGTCTGTCTGTCTGTCTGTCTGTCTCTCTCTCCCTCTCCTTCTCTCCCCCTCTTCTCTGTTTTTCTCCCCCTTTGGTCTGTCTGTCTGTCTTTCCAGCTTCATATTGGCCATCTAAGGGCTTGAGCTAGCAGTGAGCTCCCACATCCAAGTACAGAACATTAGACATTCAGTGGGAAGAGGAGCTGAGTCACTATGAATAGGTTCCCTGGAATAGTCAAAAGGGAAGGGTAGCAAATATAGTATCCAAAGCAATTGCTTAGCATCTTCTCTCCACTACTATCCCCCATAAATACTGCTTTATTTTCTCTTTAGGATCAAAGCCTGTCAGAGTTGGAAAGGCCCTGGGAGGCCATCTAGTCCAATGTGTGGTACAGGAAGAACACTGAATCTGTAGCCAGGAAACATGAGCAGACTGAGCTCCAATTCCAGCTCTGTTCCTCATTACTTGTGTGTGTGAGCTTGGGCAAGTCACCTCTCTGGGCCTCAGATACCTCCACTATAAAATTAGAATAGATGACTTCTCGGCTTAAAATCCATGGTCCTGTAAACCTCCTACCCCCTGCAGCATTCCCCTCATACACACAAGGGTGCACTCATTTGTCAGTATAAAAGGAGGAATGGTGCTAAGCCCATGCCTTGACCCCTTTGGGTGCCCTATGCTCAAGCCAGAGCACTGTAAGGAGCCCTGATCATAGATTCCCCACCAGAAGGGGCAAGGGTACAGGCTCAGCTCAGTCACCTCGGTTACATAGGTCACCATCTGGCCTCTCTTAGAACACTTGGAAGTGATGGAAAGCCAGCAGCTAACCCAAGGCAATACTTTCCATGTTGGAATAGCTTTGAATATGAAAAAGCCCATCCTTATATTGAGAAGAATCTTCTCCCCTGTGACTTCTATCCCTGGTTCTAATATCTTTTTATCCTCTGGAACCAGGCAAGCCCCTCTAATACATGACCATCATTCAGATATTTGAACATGTCTTTTCATCCCTCTTCCTGCAACCAACCAGCTTTCTCTCCTCCAGAAGACAGCCACTATGGGTTGTCTGACTGTTCCTTCCCTTTTCCTGTATAGTGTCCCTCTCATCCCTTCTTCTCCATTCACTCCCTCTCCCTCCCTCTCTCTTTCTTTCTCTTTCTTCCTTGTCTCCTACTTATGTCTTAATGGTACCCCTGGACATTGCTCAGCACTCTAGCTTGCAGCCAAGGCTAAAAAGATTGCTAAACCCTGAAGTGTTGAAAGGAGGGAGGTATAACCTGAGGGTCTACTTATTAAAGAAGCAGTTAAAGCAAAGATACCCTCTTTCCCCCAACACACACACACACACACACACACACACACACACACACACACACACGTCCCTTATTTTGGCCAAAGCTTCTAACTGTCTGAAGGGACACAAATGTTCTGATTCTGCCTTCCCAGATCTAGCACTGGCTTTAAGACTCTACTCCATTCTGCCATTGGGTTGCATTCGACCCCAGAAATGGCTGCATTTCGGCACTCAGTGAAGTGACCCATACAGAGTGTCTACATAGAGCAAATATGTGATAGTGTAGGATGCTATAAACGTTTTATGATGCCAAGTTTGGAATGACTGTATTACACAGTGGTAGAGGAGACATGAGTGAGTTATACAGGTCATTCCAAGCAAGTGGCAGTAAAAGTTTTATAGCATCCGACACTATTACATATTTGGGTTCTGCCTTTATTAGCTTCATTTTTTTTGTCCTTGTTTTTGTCTCCCTCTGCTTTTCCCTCTTTGAAGTGCAGTAGGTACCAGGAAGATGTGACACCATTGCTTTAGTGACTGTCTTAAGAGCAGCTGAGAGTCATCAGAAGATGACTATAGAAATAATGGGCAGAAGTTTATATCACGATTTGCCGAACACAATTATGTCCTTGTGTGAACAGAGCACACGAGTATTTAAATGGCAATAGTTATTACAGTCAGACGGGACAAATCAACTTGAGTTTCTGTGCCCTAGCCTTCATCAAAATCAGGCACTGGGCCTGAATGAAATTTAATCAAGTCTGTCTCTCCTCTCTGGTACCTTTGTGTGAGGTTTTCATGGGAATTTGTGTTTGTGGAGGGATTCTGTGTATTTGCTTCAGGCAAACCCTTGCATTCTCTTTGCCCAGCTGATAAGGCCCAAGAAGGAAGGAGCAGTGTTGAGAAAAGGAAAGGAAGATCAACTTTAGGGCCTGCTGAAAAGCTTTTCAGGCCAGTAGATTTCTCTGGGCTTATCTGGAAGACTGAAGTATTGCATGATACTTGTCGCAGGCAAATGTATTATGTAGATTATGAACCAGCTCTCTCTTGCCTGCATGGAGGTTGTTGCATGCTCAGGAAAGGACCTGAGCAAAAGTTTACCTGTGGATAAATAGCCCAGAAAAAAGTTTGTTGTATTACTTTTAAAGGAAATCTAACACAATTCTCCCAGAGACCAGGGAGGTGTGTTCTTTTTGCTCTGGCCCATGCCTAGCTGAAGAGAGAGGGTGGAAGGAGAATTACTAGAAAAAGGAAAAGGAAAACTCTTTTCCCCTAACCTGAAGTTGCTGAGCTAGCAACAGCCAGGTTGTTGTATGTGTGTATATGTGTCTGTGTTTGTGTGTAAATGTGTATGTGTGTGCATGCATGTGTGTGTGTGTGTGTGTGTGTGTGTGTGTGTGTGTGAGTGAGAGAGAGAGAGAGAGAGAGAGAGAGAGAGAGAGAGAGAGAGAGAGAGGGAGAGCGAGCTTGGGCAATTCTTGGGCCTTATGTTCCTCATCCATAAAATGACCTGTTGGAATAGATCATCCCTAAGGGTCCCTTCTTGTTCTAAAATTCTATGACTATTCTTTTCTTCTTCATCTGTTGAATCCCTACTCAACCCAGAAATCTGATTTAAATGCTATTGCTTCCCCACAGCCTTCCCCAATCCTTTCAGCTGACCCAACCTCTTCATCCTCACATATAATTTTGTTTGCACCTCTCTAATGTACTTATCATGTAACACAAATGATAGCTGCCTGTGTTGGTGTCTTATCTCTCTACTAGACTATAAGCTCTATGAAGGAAGGAACTCCCTATTATTCTAAACTTTTATCTCCTTCAATACCTAGAAAAAGGCTGTGTACCCAGTGGGTACTTAATGCATTCCTGGTGAGTGAATAAACTAACAATTAATTCTACTAAAATATATAAGTCTTTGCCATAAAGAAATCTACTGCTTAATATTAAAATACTCAAGGAATTTGGACCAGATTACCTATAAGATCCCTCATAGCTCTCATTCTGTGATCCTATGGGCCCTTCCTTACACACTATCAATCCCCTTCCATTCAAAAAGTCCCCCTAATGGAATTACGGGGAACAAACACATTTTAGACTTAGAATGGAGAGAAATTCCTTCATTAGTTCTCAGGAAGAGTATCAGAATGGGTGTTTTGATGCTTATTTTCTATAATTCTATAACATGTGAATCTCTTATTGATGTCCATCTCAAAAAAGTTTGTCCCAACTGTTCGTGCACAAAAACCCAAGCGAATGAAGAAGAGACATTCTATTGCCCATCATGCCTGGATTATGACACGAAGTTAGATGCACAAGCTACAGAGTTTTCCCATCAGAATATCTATCTGGGATAGATAGCACAAATGGACAATGAAATGGGCCCAGAACTAAGCAGTAGACAAGTAGGTTAGATTGCCTTCAGGAAACTGCAAAGGTCTTTGAATAATACTAACTTTCTCCAAAAAACCAATACCCATCTTTTTCAAGATGTATAGTAGTAGACCAATAGTCTACTGGTCACATACAGCTGCAAGTCATGAAACACTACAGTCTCTGAAGTATTAGAAATGAATCTCACAAAGAGGGTGATAGAAAGGTACATGGTGGGTGTGGGCAGGCTGCCACACAGAACAAACTTTGAAGAATTAGAGTGAAAGATATCACCGGGATTTTTATCAGCCAGCTGTTGAGGCAGGAACAGAAAGGGATGGTGAGAGTCAGAGAAGAAAACTTAGTCTTGGACAAAGTTGAGTAGAAAAGCACCTGCCCATTTTCATTTGCCAGGAGTGCTTAGATAATAGGATCATACATGTAGAAATGGAAGGGCTCTCAGAAGTTTTTAAGCCCAACCTCTTCATTTGACAGATAAGGTCCAGAGAGGTTAAATGTTTTCCCCAAGGTCGCACAGCTAGTAAGTGGCAGAGCCAACATTCAAATGAAGAGGTTTTCCTTTGAGTTTAATACTAAGCTACTATTCAAAGCCTCAGTCTTAGATGATAGAAATGGCCACTTCATCTTCAAGCCAGTCAACTAGAGGGTATTTATGGTCATTCAACAAGGTGAGTTCTCAAGGAATTCTATAAGGGATGAACTTCTCCAAGTAGGATGGAGGAATTGGACATTTTCCCTAGAGATTTGTTGAGTAACCTAATTTATGTACTCTTTTCTACAGAGTAGAGGGATCAACTAACATCACAGATATTTGTTCAATGTCTATGATTATAAGAGGAAGGCAAAGAGAGATGGAAGGACCATGATTTATAATGGTGAAAACCATGTTGACTCCAACTCCTACTGGGACCAATATCCCAAGATATGTCAAGGACCAGGAAAGAACATTTCTCTCTCTCTCTCTCTCTCTCTCTCTCTCTCTCTCTCTCTCTCTCTCTTTTCACACACACACACACACACACACACACACACACACCCCTACCCTCTTTCAGCACATCCATTGATATGTTGATCTCATTGGTGTGGATACATCCTCCATGACGTACATTTACAATCCATCCATACCTCATGCCCATGTCTTTCCATAAATCTCTGATGGAGGATCCACTCAAGGTGTTGGAATCCTTCCTGGTGTTCTTTTTCTATTTCTTGGATACCAGAGTAATCCCTTGCTCAGGCTGTCCATCTGTTATCCCTCACATGACTGACTCACTTTGCTGTGTGGTCAAAACACCTCCCAGAATCACAAAGGCAGCCTTGGCAACCCTTCTCTGGTTGGGGGCTTTGGACCCAACAAAGGAGAGGCCATTCGCAGTGTGGGCAATATAGCTCCTGATGATTAGGGTCACCTCTCCGGTCCATAGTAACTGCTCCTCACAGTAGGACCTGCTAAGTTGGGAGCTTTAAGGTTCAAACACATTTGTGTATTTGAAGTATGATAGCTGGTCAAAATGCCGGAGTGGGGGGGGGTGGAGAGAAGGCATTTATTTTTTTTTCCCAGGCTCTTCTAACTCAAAACCAGCTGGACCACACTAAAAACATTTCCTCACTAAATATTTCCCTTTGGACTGAAAGCACTTCAACCCCAAAGGAAAATTTGTGAGTGAGTGCAAAGAGCGGAAGCATTTTCTTGATGTAGAATCACATCCTGCCTCTTGCTCCCAGGGATTTGGATGGGAATTTCCCAGTCCTGTCTCACTCTCCAACCACAGACAGGGATGCAAGGATGCATCCTCTGTGTTTCTCTGTCCTCAGATACTTCCTCTTTTGCAAAGGTAGAGTAGAGCCCCTCCTGCCCTTATTTATGGCAATCATTTACTAAACATCTGCAAAATGTGCCTTGCGCCTTGCTAATAATTACAACAACCCACATTTCTACAGTGCTTTACATTTTTCATTGTAGCCCTTTTCCTCATAATAACTCAGGGAGGGGAGATATGGAAAGTATTATTATCCACATTTTACAGGTGAGGAGACTGAAGCTTGGAGGAGGGAATGACCTAACCATAATTTTTTTGGGGGGGGGAGATTGAACCCATGATTTCATTGGTACAGGGAACTCCTGATGAGCAGAGTCCCTGTATCAGTGCAAATCACCTGCTGCTCTGCAATTTAGAGGCTTAGAGAGCTTCCTGGGGGCATTCACCCTTGCCCAGAGTAACTCACACAGCCAGTATATGTCAAGGGTGGAACTTGAACCCAGGTCTTCCTGACTCCGGAGGTCAGCTGTCTATCCATTTGGCATGGCTGCCTCTAAACTAGGGTCATACAGATGGTAAATTTCAGATCCAGGACCCAAATCAACTGACATCATAGGAAACTGCTCTCTCTCTATGATTATGAGAGGAAGGCAAGAAGAGAAGGAAGGAGCATTATTTACAATGGTGAGATCCAAGTTCCAATTAGCCCCATCTACCCATACTAGGAGCAATATTCCAAGATGTGACAAGGACTAGGAAAAAGCACAGGTACACACACACACACACACACACACACACACACACACACACCCCTTCTTTTTGATACTTCGATGTACCTGTGATCTCATGGAAACCAAGTCTTCTTACTCATATAAAACAGGACCTCTACCCACAAAAGAGTTTCTTTCCTATCCAGATAGAGACATAAGAAACAACCAAAGCCCAAGAAAGAATATAATAAAATGCTAAATTGTGCAGATAATTAGTACTTTGTTACATGCTATCTTATACTCTTACTGATGATAAGTGCAAAATGAGTCAGTGGCTACTAGGTGTAAGATCTAGGGTTTTTCTAGGCATTGTGGGGGATACAAAGAGAACTGACCCTGTCTCTGTATTCATGGAGCTTATAATCTATCAGGAGAGATTAAAATGGGCACAAATAACTATATTATACGAGGAAGAATGGGAAAGTGCAATAATACAGGTACAAAGAGATTTGTTATTTGAGAAAATAATAATTATAGTTAACATTTGTATAATATTTACTATGTGCCAGGTCCTGTGCTAAGTGTATTACAATAATCTCATTTGAGCTTCACAACAACCCGAAGAGTAAGTGCTGTTGTCTCCATTTTACAGAGAAAACTGAGGCAAACAGAAGTTAAGTGATTTGTCCAGGGTTACACAGCTAGTAAGTATCTGCAGTTGGATTTGAACTCAGGAATCCAGACCTAGGGCTCTATCCACTGTGCCATTTAGAAGAAGGAAATGTTACTTTTGATTAGTTCTGGTTTTGGTGTCAAACAAACAACTTTGGGCACACTTATTGAATGTAAGATGTCTACAGGACATCCAATTCAAAGATAGATGGAAACATCACCAAAAGGAGAGTCAAAAGACTGGTTAGTATCTAGGCTCTGCCACTGACTGCTTATATGACCCATGGCAAGTCACTTTTCCTCTCCAGGTCTCAGTTTCCTCATCTGCAAAATAAAGGGGGTGGATTAAATCACAGAAGTCCCTCCCTGTTCTGACAATCTATGATCTTAAATGGACCAAATACAGTAATAGCTCAAACCTAGGTTTCTAAACATTGGATCCTGGAATTGACAAAGATGGAATAGGGTCAGGGGACCATTCATTCCTTGTTGTTGGATGACTAGTTACCACCTCTCCCTTTCCCATACACAGCCGAACCCATCCCTGCTGTAATCTTGACCTCTAAGAAAATAGAGGAATCACTCCTAGATCTGAAGTAGATAGTGAGGAATTGCACGTTCTTAGAGGCCATAGCCTTTTCTGGTGTCCTCCTTTGACATCTCCTCATGGACTGGGGGTAGCTGATGCTGGGTTCTTGAAAGCTCTGCCAGTGGAGGACAAGCTTGAGACATCAAGCTAGAAAGGCTCCAAGTATGATTCCAATAACACATGTCTGTCATCTGAGGATGACGCTAGCCAACTGTGGAGGGGTTCATCAGTGGAAGCGAGGTCACCAGCTGATGCATTTTTTTGACCACAGGATTCATGAAGATAATAATAACAACAGTTAGTATTTATATAGCACCTACTATGGGCTAGGCACTTTACAAATATTATCTCATTTGATCCTCACGACAGCAACAATCCTGGGAAGTACTATTATTATTCCCACTTTACAGTGGAGGAAACTGAGACAAATTGCTCAGGGTCACAGCTAGTAAGTGTCTGAAGCTGGATTTGAACTCTAGTCTTTCTAACTCGAGGCCCAGGGCTCTATCCACTGTACCACCCAGATGACATTAAAGAATCAGACCATCTACTAAAGTGTGGAAGGGTTGTGATCTGCATTGGTCGGGCAAGCCTCCTCACTAATAAAACTGAATCTTCTTAATCTATTGAAGTAAAAGGTGAGAGACCATATTTTTTATTTCTTTTGTATTCCCTACAGCCTTAGTATAGGACTGAAGCAAAATGAATGTTTAAAAATAGGGACACAGTAAGCATTTAATAAATGCTTATTGATAATGATGTTTAATTAATGCTTGTTGAATGAAAGAATGTATTCTGAGCAAATGGAAGGATCAGCTATATCTGAGGATCACAAGATTTACAGCTTGAAGATATTTTAGAGATAATTCAGTCCAATCCAAGAAAGGAAGAAAAAGAGAAGCATAAATAAAGAACGAGTACCCCAGCAAAGCCCTGCAGGCAATTTTCCCAGGTGAAACCAACTTTAGCTAACAAAGGATAATTAATCTCCATTACTTTTGATCCAAAAAGAGTTTTCTAGAAGAGTTTTCTGTGTTCCTGGGCCTTTGCTGAATAGAGTCAGGGGCTGTCAGTTACCAAAGTCTTTTCTTCTCTGTAAGAAGCTGGCACCTCTGTGGCAGGAACTGGCAAATAGGGGTCCCCAGGAGTTTGGGTTTTACCCACACCTCAGGCATGGAGCAAAAATACTTAGAATCAAGAAGCCTCACGCATCCGAACCCTATGGGAGGAATGAAGGAGCTGTTGGGAAAGACAAGAGCCTGCCTTAGATGGAAAGATGGAAGGGACCTTAGAGATTAGGTAGTCTAACCTCGTCATTTTACATATTAAATAACTTGCCTAAGATCACAGAAGTAGAAAGAGGCAGAAGGATTTAAACCAGGTGTTCTCAACTGATCAAAGAAGAAACATTTATTAAGCACCTACTATACGCCAGGCACTGTGCTAAGCACTTGGAGACACAAACAGAAGCAATAGATAGTCCCTGCCCTCAAGGACCTTACAATCTAATCTCATACTAAATCCAGAATTCTTTCTGCTACAAAATACTGACTCTCTATGCTAGACTGATGCAGCCCTTTCAACAAAACCAGACTGCTGTTCATGATTGTCTTTGTCTTGTCACTGGCAGAAGACTGTCCATCAGTGACTCTACCAACCTTACCAGTTGCTAGGAGACCCAAATGAGGCTCTCTGAAAAACAGTCAAAGGTGGCCAGACAAATAAGAGTTGTAATAGATTGCAAGTTCCTTGAGGGCAGGGACTATTACTTTTTATCTTTCTATCCACAGTACTTTGTACAATCGAGGTGCTTGCTATTCATTGAACTGAACTAGCAATAATGATCATTGTTGGAATAGGTCATCCTAGCTATCTCACCATGAAGTGAGGACACAGACCTGTTATAAAAGTGCATGAAAGGAGATTCATTCAAAGCCCACAAAACAAAGAAAAGATTTTTTATTTCTAAAAAGAATTTCAAGGGAAGGAGGAGGTCTTTCAGTAAAAAGCTTAGTACTTCTTTGGATAATTCAGGGTTTTGTGACCTCAATAAGGTAAGTATTCCTGGCAAGACTGACCCTTCCCCCCCACTATACATTCTCATCCTATGATATTCTTATCCAAGTCTTTCCAGAAATCATCCAAAGACCGTCTACCCAAAGCACTAGTGGCCTTCCTCTATTCCTTTCAGTATTGTATGGATACTAATTCAGAACTTGGGATATCTATCTGGCATTTCTAACTCTCTGCCCATGACTGGCTTGCCTCTTCTAGTCAGAATGTCCTCAGTGATGACTTTAACACCATTTCTTGTGGGCAAATCATCATGGCAAAATGCTGGAACCTACATACACTCACCATGCATCTTTCCATCCAACCCAAGGATGGCCTGAAATTTTGATTCTTCCAAACAAGGCTCTCAAGCTGACATTAAAAGGGGGAAAGGGGGCAGTGGGTCCTCTAACTCTTTTTCATCTGGTGGGATGTCCAGGTTCCTTGATCTTTTGCCCTTCCTCTTTG